TTCTGGCTCTCTTCCTCACTTTTTTCTTGGTAGCGAAAAAGGGAGAGAGTCTGTTGGTTTGTTTGCTGGTGCTCTTGCTGGCTGGTTGTGTGTCTGTTTGCTTGCGCTGACGTCAAACTGGCTGACTTGCTGTGTTCTATAGCTTTCTCTCTTTCGTTTTCGTTTTCCTTCACTCTCGTGTCTGCATCTCCCTCGCATCTCTCTTTTTCTCTCTCTTTCGTCTGGTCTTGTCTGGTGGTGGTGAACGATGGTGCTGGTGGTGGCCACTGCCATTGCCGGTGCCAGCAGCATGCNGTGAACGATGGTGCTGGTGGTGGCCACTGCCATTGCCGGTGCCAGCAGCATGCTGTGTGTATCGAAACTGTAGTGGAGAGAGCTGTGCAGTGTTCAGTCGTGCCGTGGCCATCGATTCGACTTCATCGTCGTCGTCGAAGCTGAAGACTTGATCGTTGATCGTTGAAGAGTCGCTTTATCCATCAGTGTTATCAACTCTCCTCTCTTTTTTTCGTTACCAAAAGATAACTTTTTGTGCCTCAGCCTACGACGACGACGATCATCATCATTAAAAGAGCTTCAGTTTTGCCATCACCATCCTTCTTCTTTTTCTTTGGTATGTTTGGTGTGCCTTTGTTGTTGTTGTTTCGATTTGAAAGCAGTGAGAGAGAGAGAGAGAGANGAGAGAGAGAGAGAGAGAGAGAGAGAGAGAGAGAGAGAGAGAGAGAGAGAGAAGTCTGTTGCGCGTGTGTCGCCGTTTCCGTTGATTAGCCATACTAAATACTGTGAGAGCTGCTTGATGAATGAGAAGCAAAAAGTTGGTGATTGCTGGTGCAAAATGGAGATATCAAAAAGTAAGAGAGAGAGAGAGAGAGAGAGAAGATGACGGCTTGGGGATTTTGAGAATGGAGAAGAAGAAGAAGAAGAAGTGAGGGAGATCATCAAAAGCAATCATCGAAGCACTATGTCAAAAGTTGGTGCTCTGGGGAAAAACAACAAGTGGGCTGCCGGTGGTGACGTCAAAAAAAGAAAAAACATTTGGGGTGTAGGGCGTGATTGCCATCGACGACAAATGACGGAGGTGGTGTTATCAGCGAATTTCAGAGTAACAGTGTATCAATCTTGTTCCCGGCGCATTTTTGTCTGTTGATCACTGTTTTTTTATCCACTGCTAAACAAACTTGGCGGCTGGCTGCTGTACTTTTTGGCTACTGCATTTTTTGGGGAAATTGTCGCCCACCTAGACTTTCACTTTGACCTATTTTTTCCTTTTTCTTTCTTCTGGTGAATGATGGTAACCTGAGGAACTGATGGTGGTGATTCTTTGCTTTTGCCTCTGCCGATGAAGGTCAGCCAGAGTTTCTCTGTGGGCATCTAAAAATAAACAGTCCTTGGTGTTTACTTTGGGAGAGAAAGAAAGTGAACCGAACAAGACAAAGATACTTATGCAAATGTTCGATCTATCTTACTTTTTCTGTGGAACTCCGTGTAGTTTGATTTAGATTTTGTTTTGTTGCTTCTCTTTGATGCTTTTCTTCCTGTTTTTCTGACTCACAGCAGCACTTCCTTTTCTCTATTTTTCTCTCATCTATTCTACTTTTTCTATTTCTAATCATCTCTACTCTTTGCTCTACTCTCGTTCTCTGTTTTGCTATTCTCGGAACATCGCTGCTTCAGTAGAAGTGAGAGGGGGACTTTGCACTAAACAAAAGTGAAATGAGCTGAATGAGTGAGATGAGATGAACAACACAGTTTGCCTAGACTGAAGGCCGTCGTCTATGACTTGCCTATTATATCGTATTATATCTCTCATCTAAACACACATACTACTCTAAATTGCCAGTCTCAGTGTGTGTCCTGAAAGGAAGACAAAGAGGCAAAATGAATAGGCAAATGAGTTTTTGCTTTCGCTTTTTGCCCCGTTGAGGGTGCACCAGCCATTAGTGAGAGAGAAACCAGAGAGGAAGATGATGAGCGGGGAAATGAGAAGCCTAATTGAGAAGTAGCGTTTTAGTTTTGCCTCTTTTTTTCTTTTTTCCTTCTTTTCACCCGTTTTCCAGCACGCATCTTCTGTGTCCTTTAAAAATGTGTGCTGACGTCAACTCAATTTCAATGCTAGGGGGTTCCAAATGCTGGAGAGCTTTTCTTTGCTTTCATTTGCTTTTCAGTTTTTGTTTCACGTATGCTATTCAGCTTTGATTTTGCTTTTGGCTGGCAGACTATCGTAGCATCTTTTCTCGCAAAGTGATAGTATATCCTCCTGATCACCTTCCCATCTTCTTCTCCATCATCGTCATCTTCACCAATATTTGCTTTTCGCACTGCCAACCAGCCAGACAGCTTCAGCTTCAGCTCGGTGTTTATCAACAGCTCCATCATCATCTGCAGCAGCTAATGATAACGAAATGAAAGCCAATGTTTCAGTGTGCCTGTTGGTGCCTCTTTTTGGTGGTGGTGGCAGATGGAAATGGTGATGATCATCGGCAGCCGGTGATGCAGCTCAGTTATCAGCAACTGTGCTGTTGGTTGGCTACTGTGCTACTAAGGTGTCAGCAGTGTAAACAATTTGGCTAGTTCTTTTTGTGAGCGTTTCGAATTCATGCACTTGAGAGCGATTGAGGACACTGACTGAAGGGATTTAGAGAATATACTTGGCTGCTGCAGTAGAACGCACTCTTCAGAGGAGGGTCCAACAGAGTGCGCGAGCGGATATCTAATTTTGAACGACCGCTTTTCTTCTCTTCTGTGTCACCAGCTAAACATGGTCAGAGTGAAAGTTAGTTAGTGAGTTAGTGACACGAGGCTCAGTCGTGGCACTCAGTTCTGTGGTTTTGCTTGTAAACAGAGAAAGAGAAAGTGAAAGAGAAATGAAAAATAGCTACTCTCACGAACTCTGAAGCAGTGAGAATTAGCATACTCTCTATTGGATTGGGTGAATGTGTTCGAGTGTTGAGTTGAGTTGAGTGCAAAGTTTGTCCTCGTGCTGTTCACGTGTTCTCGCTTTTCTCTCTGTTTAGTACTTCAGTTTAGTGCAAGTTTCTGGTGGTGTTGGTAACGTCGACAGAATAGTTTGAAATTGTTCTAGTGTGGCGGTAAATTTAGCGCACCAAAGTTCGGTTCCACTTCTTCTCCTCCTCCTCAACGTTGACATCTTTGGGTCGGTGGAGAAAGTGAAAACACTTTCACTCTCTTCAATGGAAGTTTATTTCTCTTTTTGTTTTGCTGCAGCAGATAGAGTACACTGCTAGCGGCACTCTGTTCAATGGCAGGGGCGTGTTCTTTTGGTTTTGGTTGTTGTGGCGGTGCTGATATTGGTGGCGATACTGAACGAACGTGAGAGAACGTAAAAGTGGCCTCCGTCGCCATGTGCGGCCTCAGTTTCGCTCTTCAAGTGAAGAAGAACAGCAGTAGCAGCAGTTGCAACCAAGTGATTTGAAGTTTGCGAAGCTCATCACTTTCACTTGTTGAAGCTCTCAGTTCCCTCTCAGTATTTTGTGTGTACTTTTTGTTCTTGACTTTTTACTTGTGCTGTCATCATCTTCACTGCCATTTTCAGTGTGATTAATTTTTCTTCATCAGCTGTGAGATCATCTGTTGAAGTTTGAGCATCTTATTCTTTGTGTTTCCGTTTGATCTGACTTTTATTGAGTAATTAATTTCGAATCCACCTCCTCTTCTTCATCTTTTGTTTACCTTTTCGATGACCTTGTTCTAATCTTTAATTTTCTCCTTTTCTCTAGTACGGTAACCGCGGCGGCGACGACTCGGGCAGCTACCACATGGCAGTCTCACCGGACCTGCCCGACGATGGCCGCACCACCGACGGCCGGCCACGGGTGGTGCGCAACGTGAAGAAGCCAGGGAAGAAGGAGAAGATGGACCTGGATGATCTCAAGAAGGAGGTCGAGATCGACGACCACCGCATTCCCCTGCAGACGCTCTGCTCACAGCTCAACACCGACTCGGAGCTGGTAAGTGGTGTTATTTCTTGTTTTTTGGTGGTTTTGGGCTTCGATTTGGCGAGGGATTAGCACTTTGGTTGAAAGACGTGTTTTGTTGTCCTGGTTAGCACTTAGCTTCGAATAGTGCTCCGGTGACCTTTTTTCCGTCCTCAAAGTGATGATCATCTGGGTTTTCACACACAGACACATGTTCCTTCTTCACTCACATCTGTTTATTACTCTTCCAGAGGGAACTTGTTGGTGGTGATGATAAGATTCGTGTCCTGTCGTTCACTTTTTTCTTCTTCTTTTTCTATTTCTGCCATTCACTCCTGATGATAAGATTCACTGGCTTCAGTTGAACAGCAGACAGTGTCCGCTTTGATAGTGATGATGATAATGTTGTCTGTCTGTGGACACTGATGGTGATCGTTGAATGAGAGGTGGCGATGGTAAATTACGTCAATCGTAAAGTGACTGACGAGCTGGCGAATCTAATCGACAATGTAGTAATGGAGGCACATTGGTGATGGTGATGATGAGGGTGACACTAAATGCTTGTAGTGATGCTGATCAGCCATTGTCGCCTGATGATGATGGGCTCACAAACTGCTTTCTGGTTTTTACTGCTCAAAATTGGTTGGTTTGATTACTACTACTTTAGTCTAAAAACAGTTGATTGGTTGTAGCTGACACAGTGATGGTGGATGAGCTAGATAGAATAGTTTGAGTTGTACAGTGATTCAAAAGATGGGAGGATGAGTAAAAGGTAGAGGAAAGGGTAAAAGTTGGGGCAAAAGTACAGTAAAATAGAAGTAGTGACTGTTGGGAATGCTTTCAAAATGCGTCCGCTTCAGGAGACGAGCCTCACCTGACTTTGATGGTGAAGTGAAGAGGAGGGTGAAGTAGAAGAGGTCCAATTGGCAGTGGTAGTGGTGGTCGTCATTCGAGGCGGCGTTCCCATCACCACCACTCGAGAGCTCACCTTGAGCGGCACGAGCACCGGCGTCGGATCACCTGCTTCCTCCTGGTCCTCCAGTGCCTCCAGCAGGTTACCACCACCACAATTCACTCTCGATGTTAGGCTCCTCACTTTCTGAGCGTCCTCTTCTTTGATGTCCTTAATCTTCATCTTCGTCAGTTCAGAGGCTCCGCCGATCCGAAACTGCTGCGAACTCTGCGCCTGAACGCATGTGGTTGTGGTCGCAGCTTGCTGGTCATTCTCGTAGCTGACTGTGGCAGTGAAGGCGGCTCGGTGGACAAAAGGAGAAGATGAAGGTGAAGAGGACGCTCGCTGAATAGGAGAAATGGAAGGAATAGGAGTTGTCCGAATATTCGCTGAAAAGGATATCTCCTGTCTGGTCACTTCGGTGGTCATTTGCATCTGCTGTTGCTGCTGCTGCTCCGGCTGCTTCGATTGTTGACCTTCCTTCCAGCGTTTCCAGTTGGCATACCAGCTGAGGTAGAGCTGACTCTCCACCGGGTCCTCAACTTCGGCGAACTTTGTCTCTGGGAGAGGCGTAAAGGTCTCCAGGTCGATCAGCTCGCGCCAGTTCAAGCTAATCGCCCCCTTCTTTGGCCCTTCACTCTTCTTCTTCTTCGGATCATTCTCTTCAGCCTGATGCTTCAGCACCTTCAACACCACTACCTGCTCATGTTTTAGCGCCAGGTAGGGTCTGGGTGAGCAGCAATCGGGCAGCGGACGAAAAGAGCCTGCTTGAAGGGGTTCCTTGTTGGCGTTGCTGGCGTTGTTGAATGGTGGCTTGCTGTTTTGGCTGAGCGGTGGACTGAGCTGCTGTTCAATCGCCGCCATCGCTCGCGACTTCTCCACTTCTTCTACCGGTAGTTCATTTTTGGTGGCCGTTTTAGCTGGAAGCTCGTCGAGCTTCTCCTTCGGCTTCTTCGGAGTCTTTGCCTTCTTTTTGGGGGCAGGAGCAGTCTCCGGTGTGGCAGCCCAGTCATTGAAGCTGGTGTTGTTGGGAGTGGCGGGTCCGGTGGTTTTAGCAACGGGATTGGTAGTCGCCGGCTTAGCAGCCCAGTCGAAGCTGTCGTCGTCAGGCCAGCCGTCTTCACTAGGCCAGCCGTGGTTGTTGCTGTTGCAGTTTGCTGATTTGACAGTGGTGGTAGAAGTTGTTGCCGGCTTTCCAGACCATCCTGAATTGGTGTTTTTGTTGTTGTTGGAGGAGGAAGAAAAAGCTGTGGTAGAAGTGGTGGTGGTGACAACTCCGGCAGCCACCATCTCCGGCGGCAAGGTCCAGTCAAAGTCGTCGTCGTCGCCATAAAACTCCGTCATGATGATGATGGTGGTGGCGGGAGCTGGAGAAAAAGCTGGGAGGTAGTGCCAAAAACGGAAAAATCTTTAAGTAGAACAACGTGAAGAAGAGCGGGAAAAAACAAATGAGAGCTCAAAAACAAACCGGGCTCGAGCTTTTATACCCTCGCTCAGCTGCTGCTACCCCCTCTTGTGGTGCGATACCGCTTGGCCGTGATTGGTCAAACGAACTTGAACTTGACCACTGACAAGTGAGAAAGAGAAATAACCAGTCGATTCGAAAATAAGGGGAACTCACAAAAGACGTACCAGAATTCCCTAAATTCTAACCCGATTCTGTTTTTCTCCATAACTTTCTATTCAGGGTCTCACCAAGCAACAGGCGGCGGAGATCCTCTACCGCGACGGCCCCAACGCCCTCTCCCCACCGAAGCGCACCCCCGAATGGGTAAGTTAAATAAAAAACTGTAAACTGACTATTTGCTAAACTCTTTACGCTCTTTTTTTCAGGTAAAATTCTCGAAGAACCTCTTCGGCGGCTTCGCCATGCTCCTCTGGGTCGGGGCCCTGCTCTGCTTCCTCGCCTACGGCATCCAGGCGAGCTCCTACGACGAGGTCCAAAACGACAACCTCTACCTGGGCATCGTCCTCGCCACCGTCGTCATCGTCACCGGCATCTTCAGCTACTACCAGGAGGCGAAGAGCAGCAAGATCATGGACTCCTTCAAGAACATGATCCCCCAGTACGCCACTGTCGTTCGAAATGGCCAGAAGTTCACCATTCCCGTGGAGGAGGTGGTGGTCGGAGACCTGATCGAGGTGAAGGGGGGTGATCGAATTCCCGCTGATATTCGAGTAATCTCCGCCTCAGGATTCAAGGTCGATAACAGCTCGCTGACCGGCGAGTCGGAGCC